GCAAACAGATTTATATATAACCATCAAATTGTAGCATTACAATATTTCAATTTTCATGAAACTTAAGGTGTTGATTCAATATTGTTAGACGTACACTAAAAGTTTTATGATCTCGAAGGATGTCTTGCATATCTTTTTGTTGCCCATCACATAGCCATGAAAGGAAATTCAAGGCCATTGTAATACGATGATCAATAAATTCAGCTTTTACATTTTGTGCAATGGCAGAAGTTATTCCACTTGGTTCTCTGTAGCCTACAAATAAATTTCATTACTATTAAATTAGAATTTTTAATGTCATACATTCATCGTTCCTTTCTATAGCTGCTGTTGGCCTTCTAAACACAGAAGATTTTCTCTTTTTCTGCAAATGCTTAATACCAATAAATTGTAGCTTAATTTTTACCACTAAATTAATGGGCAATGATGAGTCATGATCATCCTCTGCTGGAATCAATGCTGCTATTTGCTAAAATTGAAATGAAGTATAACTATTTATCATTAAAAAATTCTCCAAACTTACAGCCATGGCTTGGCCCATTCTAGAAAAATGGCACAAACATAATAATATTGCTGAAAGTATTAACCTACTTTGCTTCATTGAGAGTAGATTGAGTTTTTCTTAATATTTGATAGACACGTACAAAAAGATTTTTGTCTTGCTGATTGACATGTGAAGTTATTTTCTTTTGAGCTTCTTCATTTCCAGGATAGAGTAAAACATTAAGACAAGCCAAAACTTGAAATGTTGTGTCATCTTTTGAATAATTAAGTAAATCAATCAACTATCATAAACATTATTATTGACTACTTGAATGTTTTTCTTTTATCCTTACTGTTTCAACTATTTCATTTTCAAGAAGAATTGTCTGTATTGGTTGAATAACTTTTTCATATTCCCTATAAATATTAAAATCAAAGTAGTTTAATAAACTAATCACTGTCGAAATTCATCAGGATTCAGCGTGCTCCTGGGTACACTGTTAATTCTTTTAGAAATCACACCACATAAAAGCTTTAGAGTTATAAGTGTAACTCCTTCAAGATTAATTCTTTCTAAAATTGGAAGACCTTCCTTTTTTCGTTTTCGAATGAGATTCCTATTACATGTCAAAGATCATATTAAATATGACAAGTAACTAAGTCACCTTAGTATTAGAATGAGTTTCTTTACTTTCAATGAATCGGCATTCATTCTGTAACATAATAATAGCAACAAATAAACAAAATTTTCCATATACTTATTAAGGTCTTCATCACTATCAGAAAATAAATCAATCAGCTTAATAAAACTGG